ATTGTCTTCCTGTATTGCCCTCATCTTACCACGTGTTGAACTGTGATTGGCCTATACAAAATATGTAGCCAACGGCTACACAGTTTCTTCCGAGATTAAAAAAGAAAAAAAAAATACAATTTAGTACTAATATCTCAAAATAAATACACTTTTATAATAGTACAAGTCCATACAAATGTTTTTTTTTTAATAAATAGGAAAAAAATCCATTATAGTGGTAATAATTATAAATAATTATATTTTTTTACTAAGATGCAAATTACTCTGTGAAAGCCCCACCTCACACTTTTACTTACACAAGGCACATCGACTTGCGTATCCATAAAAATTGAAATTATTTTGAGTTATTTCAATTAAAATGAATTTTCTCCACATAATAAAAAAAAAAAAATTTTGATCAATAAATTCTCCCTATCAGTTATTCCACAACCATAATCTTAGGTTGGAAGTGTTGTCCATTTCATTCCTCCTACTTATTAATATTGGGTGAGGTACTATTTTGTTTCTTTATCTATTGTCATGATACTTCACCGCTCATTAATACCTGAAGTTCTGACACTTCATGAATGAAATATACAATACATCATATTATAACCGAAAATGTTATGATTCATAAAAAAAAAATTTCTTAAATTTTATTTCAAAAATATCTATAATGTGAATTTAAAGTTAGTCGAATGTGAGTTATACTTATAATAAATATAGACCGTTAATTTATTTATTTTTTCTAAATAATTTTTAATTTATTATTATTATTATTCTTTTTTTGAGTGCATAGTTTTGCTGTATTATAACTTCTATGGTCTTCATTCATACTGGTAGGGCATTTATCTGTGCTTGGACAAACCTCGTGAGCTATGATAAACTTGAGGGTTGACCATGCATGTCTCAAAATGACATCAAGAAAAGTCCTAGGGTTTTTTACAGCCAAAAAAAATGAAGCCTAGGTCCTCACTTCTGAATTATTGTACTACTTTGTCACCTTCCATAGGAGGGTAACCCTACAACTCATATTTAATTGAATTTTTTTGTTTCTTACTAGCCAAAAAAAATAATTGATGAATAAAGTAGTACAAGTTGTATTAAAAAAAATGCAATCAAGAGAGAAGCATAATTACTTACATCAATTAACTTCAACACAAAATTTCCTTCTCCAAAATCTTATTTATTTCAATACAATCTCAGTCTCATTCGCATGATCGATTGTGCATAAGAATTATTATATTTTGAGATTCTCATCATATCATACATTGGAGACATGTGAATGAGGGATTTCGGTGACATCTTGTGCCTACGTCATCCTTAATCAAGAGAGGTTAGTATGCTTTTGCAATGATTTATTATGCCTCATCTCTTAAATATGCCATACATTGACAAGACAAATATTTTTTATCAACAAACAACCAATTTATTATATAAAAAATTATTGACAAATAGAAAATTTGTACAAAATTTCATATTAAAATGATGTGAATTTTCTTGAAAATACAGCCACATTGATAATTTTTTACAAATGATAGGATCCAATGCTGTCATACCATTGCTCTGGATAAAAGTTTTGTATATATTTTTAATTTGTATAGTTCTAGACGTAAAAATTCTTTCCTTTCACAGTTCATAACTTCTCCAAATGCCAAATGGGTGGTAGAAAAAACATGATAATAATAAAAAAAAAGCTTCACAAACAAGTTTGTTGACAAATTATTTTCAAATTAACAGAACATTGCAGTAATAAAATTTTGATATTTAAAATGCGCGTCCTAAAATTAAACAAAAAGAACAACTCCACTGTCACGCCAATTTATCGGAATAATAGCAATAATTTGATGTCTTCTAATCAATCCATATCTATCAGACCATGTGCCAATGTATTTTTTAAAGGAAGGCAATTCATAGAGGCAACCCACAACAGAAAAAAAAGCGTAAATATAATCATGCAATCACATATTGTTCTTTTTCTTTGTTATGGAAATCTGATTTTGAAATATTACCAACTCCTTTTAATTTATATCACCCACAAGCTCATCTCTACCTTGAGAGTAGTCAGTTTTCTGTTTTGTTGAATTATACAAACATTCAACTTTTGTGACCACAATTAAAAGACAAGTCTAACAATGAAAATTAAATAAAATAGTTTATGTATATCTAGTGCAAGTAAGATTTGTGTTTATATCATCAAATTGTAGTTGGATTGGGCAATTTGATCCTAAATACAGAAAAACACCATCAGCTACTGCTGGAAATTTTACGAGAAGTCCTGCCTCTAAATGTTATTTCACAATTTTTTTAATATTGGCGTACAAAACGAGATGAGTAATTAAATTTGTTCAAAAGGAGAAAAAATATAGGAGATTTCACGACGTTTTTCAAAAATGTCAGGAAAAAAAACGTGGTGAAAAACACCATCAGCTATCGTTTTGTTTGTTTGGCAAAAAACTTCTTTCAAATAATGTCTGCATAAAAATAAGTATTTATTTATTTATTTATTTATTTATTGCAACCTTAAAATTAATGTACTAGTAATGATTGTATTAGTGGTGGTGGTGGTGGATTGGTGGAGACAGTGGGATGGCAATTATGGTGATGGTAGTGGTGGTGGTGAGGAGGTAGAGGGGGTGGTTGCAAGGGGGCGGGGTAGTGGTGGTGGTGGAGGTGGCAGTGGTTGTATTGGTGATGGTGATGGTGGTGTGGCATTGGTAAGTTTTAATATGGAAAATGTTTCTCAACTTGCAAAAGTGAAAAATATTTTCGCCCAAATAAATTTATTTTCATTGTTTTGGAAAACGTTTCTATTGATTTTCGTTTTCTACAGTACCAAACATTAAAAAATGCAACAAAGATTTTTCAAAAAATATTTTCCGCTAATTAAATGCAGCGTAAATAGATATCAATGAATACTGTACATTTTTTGCGCACTTCATTTTAAAAAAAATCTCAATAAATCTCAATCATATAATACACTATTTTTTTTACGCTTTTTGTTTTTTAATTTGTCTAACACTTCAGTACATCAAAACACTCCAAACTTGCATGGTCCCAAATTTTGAATTTTGCATGGGAAGAGTATATAATGTTTTAATTTTGTAGGTCTAACATTTCAGTACATCAAAACACTCCAAACTTGCATGGTCCCAAATTTTGAATTTTGCATGGGAAGAGTATAACGGTGGTGAACTTTAATTCTTCTCCTCTACTCTGCAGGTCTTTAATCTGGAGATGGACAAAAACAACAAATATAACTTTTAAATAACTGAACTCACTAAACTTAGTTACAATTGTTATTATTGAAAATAAATAAATAAATAGTGTATTCTTGTCTATGAACCCTTTTTTTTTTTTTTTAATTTGTATTATTGAAGGTTCAAGTCCTCTTTTTTGTTTCACAGATAAATCTTGGTTCCTCTCTCTCTCTCTCTCTAACAAGAGACACTTCACTGAGATATTCTGAAGTTCTGGTCATCTAAAGAAACTCCAAAGCAATATGATAATGTAAATTCATTTTCATAATTGTTAGGGTTCTCTATAATACAAATTAAGATTACAATTGGCTTTTTTTAAGAAGAAAATGACTGCACATGTGAGATTCTCAGAATCTAATCAAGACTTTGAGGTCATCACAAAAATCTTTATTAATTTCTCATTGAGAACCAATTATACAGCTAATTATTTAGCAGTCTCAGAAATTATCATATGATATTATTTATATAATGTTATTAATTAACAAAATAATGAAATTTTTTACAAGCGAAATATGTTGCTGACCTATATTTGTTAGAAAGTTGAAAAACAAGTGATAACCAACTTAATAAGTGTTACAATTTCTAGTTTAAGTAGATAATTGGGAAGTATTTAATAATTTTCAGAGTGATAGAGATAGTTTCCCTAATTTTCTGAGAAAACAAACACGTTACTAATTTTCTTGTTGTGTCAGAAAACCTGCAATGAATTAAAAAAAAAAAAAATCTTCAAAAGGACATTATTATAAAAATCTTCTATTTTTTTATTATTATCATTGGCATGACTAAATTAATCTGCATATAGTGATTTTATAAGATTATTAATGTTGATTACCTCTATACAAACAGAGGTCAAACAAATTGAACTATGCCTATCTCATGTGCTCATCAATAAAAAATAAAAATAAAACAAGTGATAACCAACTTAATAAGTGTTACAATTTCTTGTTTACGTAGATAATTGGGAAGTATTTAATAATTTTTGGAGTGATAGAGACAGTTTCCCTGATTTTTTGAGAAAACAAACACGTTACTAGTTTTCTTGTTGTGTCAGAAAACTCAAAATGGATAATAAAAAAAAAACCTTCAAAAGGACATTATTATAAAAATCTTCTGTTTTTTTATTATTATAATTAGCATGACTAAATTGATCTGCCTACACTACAACAATTAACACTTTTAGCAACAAAAAAATTAGTCGCTAAAAGTCTATTTTTGGTCGGCAAAAGTTATTTGCGACTAATTTTTTTGGTCGCTAGTTTGGTCGCCAATTGAGGGTCGGCAAAAGTAATTCGCGACCAAAATTTTCATTAGTCAGCAAAAGTTGGATTTGCCGACTAAATTTTTTGTCGCTAAATATTTAATTACCGCGACTAATTCATTTTGTCGCTAAAACACTTTGGTCGCAAAAAGTCATCTTTTGCCGACCAAATTTCTTAGTCGCCAATTGACACATTTCGCGACCAAAAAGTTTGGTCGCCAATTGTGACATTTCGCGACCAAAAATTTTGGTCGCCAACTGTGACATTGTGCGACCAAAATTAGTTTGGTCGCTAATTGTTATTTTTCGCGACCAAAACTGTTGGTCGGCAAAAGTGAGTTTCCACGACTAACAAAATTTTTGGTCGGCAATAGATGTATTTTTTGCGACCAAAACTCTTGGTCGGCAATTGTCATTTTTTGCAAAAAAAAATAATTTATTTGTCGCGACTAATAAATTGGTCGCCAAAGCAGGAAAATAATACACTTGTAATATTTAGCGAATTCATAATCAAAATAGGACGAATTCATTATCAAAACAGGTCTTATTATAAAATTTTCTATATCCAAGTTTCAACACATAACTCAGCAGCAGCAACATTGATTCCAAAAACAAGGAACAATTCACAAAACCCTATTCTAAACCCCAAAAAATAAAAAACAATTCATTCCAACAAAAATTTAACATAATTAGCATCAATTTCAAAAAAAAAAGAACATCTGGTGTTAACAAGGTTGAGTATTGTTCAGTATTGTTGTTGTTTTTTATGTAGGGCATCCAGCTCCTTTTTTATGGAGGCTCCCACTGCAAAAACAAAAACAAAAGAAGAAGAAGAAGAAACAAGTCATAGTAACAATCAAATTACAAGCACGGTTCAAAGTAGTACAAGTTCATATTTTCAGGCATATTGTAGACAAATCCTCTTCATTGTTGTAATTACTTCTACAATCCAAAGAACCTAAATAACGATAACTATTTGTTCAAACTTCAGTTGAGGGGAAAATTCTGACATTTTCTCAGTGTGTGAGAGCTTTTGTTGTGCTGTGGATTCATGGTATGATGGTATTGTTTGATTAAAGTGAAACTACAGCACAAATTAAGAAGTGAACATAAGTCATTCTTACGTTTGCTGTCAAGAAGAACAATAAACAAGTAGGTTTTTTTTCTTGAACTGCTTCCGCATTTTGTTTTTCTAAAATATATGTCAAATAAAATTTATGTAAAGCAAATGTTTTCTCTAATATACTTTGTCATGACAATAATGTCCACCAGTCAGGAACATTTGACATCCCAATCAACTGAGTTAAGGGAGCGTATGATCATAATTAATGATTTTATCAAATTTACTAATACATGTATTAACTTATATATCTGATTACAGATTTGCTTTGAAGTACTTTACATACTACATGATCATTTATATTCTAAGATTCCAATCTTTATATTCTACACTGAATATTAGTTTTTCTAAATAACTGTAGAGATGTAGATCAGAAACAATCAATATGACTACCAAATAGCATGTTAGACTACTAGCCCAAAACATATAGGTGGTTTGGAATATTCTAAATAAGTGTACTTTTTGACTTTTTATGAAATATGAGTTTGGTATAGGTTGACTTTTTTAATATAATATCAAGTTTCATGTGATAAAATTGCCTTCTTCCTCCATTCCTTTGCTTAGGTTATATATATATGTTATAGGCTTTGCTTGGATTTCAGATTTGTGGAGAAATTTATGGATGAAAAAAGAAATAGAAAAATAACTTTTATTTCTTCTTTTTTTTCCCTTAATAAATTTCTCTACAAATTCAAGATCCAATGTTAATGTTGAAACAAAAGCAAGTAGTCTAATATAGGAATGCTAAAGGTAACACGCAAATTTTTTTTTTTTTTTTGGGTGCGTACCTTGGGCTTTTTATCTTTGTCAATTAGCATAGCTCTAGCACGCTGCAAGTTTGATGTTACATGATTGAAAAATAAAATTATAATTTACAATAAGATAAAATAAAATTATATCCTTTCTGTACGTATTCTGTGTCACTTTTGCTTTTTTGTCAATTTTGTTCATAAAGTTCCTAATTTGAGTCAAATTTATCCAATTTTAGATGACCATCTAAATCATTAAAGGATAATAATAAAAATCAGAAATGTTTCCTAAAATTTGAGTTTTGTAAAGTGACAACTTTATTAATTTAATACCTAAAATTGTAAGAATATGCTTTATCTTCTTCATTAGTGTATAAGAATTAAAGTGACGGAATTAAAAAAACTTGGGGAACTAATGTGACACGGAACACATACTTCGAGGATTATATGTAGATTTTTATTATTACTGCATTAATGATTTTAATAGTCCATTTGAAATAGAATTAATTCGATTAAAAAAAAAAGAAACAAAATTAAAATTTCAAGAATAAAAAATGATACCAAATACATGTTTTAAGGATCATACACCTATTTTATCCTTTAGAATATATGAAAACGATAGATTCTATATACCTCATAGAAATCATTGTTCACAGTTCTTCGCATGAAATGACGACAGAGAGTAAATTCACGACTGAGACAATGTTCAAGCTTTAGCACCCTTCCTTCTCTAATCTAATCAAGAACCAAACAAGATTATGTTAAGAGTGAAATAAACAATGGTTGAATCTGTAGTGCGCACCTTCCAAGGGAGTGCATGATACACACCTCAAAGTTTATGGTTTGATGTATGCAAAATTACAACTCAATTACATCAGGCCATAACTCCAACCATTAGTGACGTAGTCTTATCTAGGAGTTATGATCAGATGTAATTGGATCGTAACTTCAATAAAATTGTATCGTAAATGTGCCCACATCTTGTCATAATTGAAATAGATGCTCATTATGTACAAAAAAATTATATTCATACATAAAATTTATACAAAAAACTAGACAAGAATGATGTGACATTGCCATTATTATAAATAAATCTATCTTCAATAGTGTTTTGTTTTGAAATGAAAGATCCACAACAAGCCACATCATTATGTATGAAAATTATATATGAATTTTTTATTTGTATAGCATTACTCTTATGTACACTTGTAAGAGGGTACACAATACAAACTGAGACACAAACAAATGTGCCCTCTCATCTTAAGTGTTGCTATAATGCACTTGTAACAAGGAATTTTCCAAATGAATTCAATGAAAATAAGAGAACTTTTATTATTATTCTTACAGATCGTAAAGTAATTTTAAGACTTGTTGGTGAAGCTGACTTCAAAGAACTTATTGCCTCAACAATCCACTTTTCTGTTCCAGTTTCCATTTATTCTTCCTAAATAAAAGAAAAGAACCGGTGAAAACTTATTGTTTGGGTTAGTTGCACTTTCGATTCCTAAAGTACATGCTCTTTGTCATTTGAGTTTTCAACATTTCAATTGTACTAATTTCATTGCCAAAGTATTGAATGTATCCTAAAGTAGTTCTCAAGCTGACATCATCCATAAAAGCTCAGAATCAAGGATAAATTTGGAAACAAAAGATATACTTCAGCAAAAAGGTTATTGCGATAACTTTTTTGGATGACGAAGTTCAATTTTGTTTCCAAATTGAGTTTTGATTCTGATGGCTAATGCAAATGGTGTCGAACACGGGACCCCTTTAGGAAACATTTAATACTTTAGGGATGAAATTGACACAATGAAAATGTTGGAGACCAAATGATCCGTAGTGCATAGTTTAGGAATCAAAAGTATAATTAACCTTTTTTCTGAGAAGGATAGATATATAACAAATGGAATAATTTTTGACATGTTTACTTACTAGTGATGATAAGATTTCTTGAACTGTTTTTCTAGAAAAACACTTGTTGATGATCTCTACTCTGCTCATCAATAAATTTCACTAAAATCAAGAGCTTTGTCCATGATACAGTCTTATATATAAAAATCCACAACAAAAGCACTAGAAATGCATATAAAAACAAATTGGTGAATGAGAGCCAACAAAAGGTTGAAGTAAAACAACAATAACTAAGTTACCTTTTATGAAAGATATCTTGCTTTGCATGTCCTTTGTATATAAACTTGCTGACGAGCTTAGAAATGGTCAACGTATTTGCAGTAACCAGCTCACATAGCGCATCTTCTAACGGTTGAAGATCCTAAGGTACAAAGGAAAGAGAGAGAGAGAGAGGGAGAACAAAAAATATATTCTGTATTACACAAAAAGAGTATAATGAAAAGAAAAATGTTAAATGTCGATTTATTGACACCATTTTGTATCTTCTCTACATAGGTTCCTTGGAAATAATCATTAAAAAAATAATGAACCTAGGGAAATAAAACAGTGAAAAACCATTGCTATATAGCTTTGGACCTTAAAACCTTTAATGTTCCAATCCTTTTCTTAGTTGCAAAGTCACTTTCTGAAAAGGAGTTGTCTATGAACATTATTATGAACCAAGTTTTGATAATTATGTTTTTACAAGTCCAAATAAATGTCAGCCCCATCAAAAAGATTGTTGGCAGTAGGACTATGCAAGTGCTTATAAAAATAAAAAATAACAAAGTGAAAAAAAGGTAAGGAGCCTCACTTTGATACGGTAAGCTTCCGAAAGCTCCTCTTGGAGATTTAACTTCTCTCTAGTGCAAGCAGTTAACTATAATACTCCCAGGGGAGGAATTTTGAAAACACATTAAAGAGGAAAATCTCTTCAGAGAAATTTTCTTTTAGCAAAAAGCTAAGACTAGCTCTCTGACTCAAAGTTTAATGGAATCTAATTTTTGAGATGGGCCACCAAGTAAGGAGAGTAAGTAAACCCCAGAACTTCTCAGATGGGCCACCAACATCTTTGTTTAACACATTTCAATCATGCTGGAAGGTCAGTCACTACTACAACATATGACCACTCAAATTCGGAAAAATTCAAATCAAATTCTAACCAGCACTATAAATATAAACAATAATAATGAACATTCTCATCAATGTCCCCTCACAGAATGTTCCATGACCAAAATTCTATATAGGACATGTCCCATTACCAAGTATTAACCAGTCTTCATGTTTCCTCATAGAATTTTCTTTATGAAAAGGCAACTACATATTATTTCCAAAGTATTTGTTGGTAACAATTCAAAAAATCTCACTCCTACGTAACGATTTATTTTCTTATTCACTATTTAAACATTGTCATTACAATCCAAGGAAAGGAATTTTGGCTTGCACAGTAGTATAATCAGAAATGGAACTGTATACATAGCAAATAGGTATTTCATAAAATAAACATTAGAATATTTCGCTGGCCTAAAATATGAGGAATAAAAAAAGAATAAACAACTAAAGCTTAGATGCTTTTCATGAGTGAAAAAAAAAAATAAATAACCCAAAAATAAAAATTCTATTACAATAAAATGAAAAACAAAAGAACATATCATTTAAACATTTACCTTTCATGCCTTTCTTTTGCAGGCATCAACGCCCTGAGTGACCTGAGTGATTTCACGGCTGACTCAACCATATCCATCTCAGACTCTACTTTCTCATTTGTCCAGCACTGCAAATAGTAGAACAAAGGTTGAGGAGCAGCATTAATTGATGTTACTTTCCAGTATTAAGACAGCTTATTACCATTATAAATGATAAACAACCAAAACAAACAGCAATAGAACCCATCATCCAATTAGTTATTCCAGACACACCGACAAGGTGTCTTGTGCAGAACTCCTTTCACAAGCAAATGCTTGAGCATCACTGGCAAAGTAGGGCTTGACGGCTTCAATAAACACATCACACAACTGGAACTGCCACCATGAATATACTGCAGTAGCAGCATCAGAAAATTCATACGAGTCCAGTGATGTCACAGTTTTTGATATGGCCTTGTTCAACACGGAGAGAATCCACTGGCAGTTATTGCTAATAGACCTGCAAGTCACATTTTAGTCAATAAATAAATTGGTATGTATCATGTATGGAATATAACAACAAAAACAAGGTGATGGCAAGAAAAGTAAATTTTCTTAGGAAAGAAAAAACAAGGAATTAATAAGATATCCATTAGAAAAGTGCTCGAGAATCATGATGCTTTTTCCTAAGTAAACAACATGGTAACTACTTACATGTAGTTGAGGGATGTTGCCACTGAGTTGGTTGCTGTCCGAAAGCCTGCTCAAATCATTTCACATGAAAGTACTGAAATTATTTTCCGTATTTAGGGTATTTTGTACAAGTATTGGGTTGACAGAAAAATTAAATCCAACATTCCCCATTATATATAGAAACAAATAATGTTCAACAAAACGAACACACAAGACAATTCTAAGGTGTCACGTTTGTGTCAAACACGCTTCCAACAATTGAGGGACACACATGGTTATCACTTAAACACATTGAAAGTTTGAAGAATATAATTTGGGATGTAATGATAATTTTTGAAAAAAAATTACTATAATTTATACCTATTAATCTCTCTACTTCAAAATTTTTTATTTTAGGAATTCTAAAACCAATAACTTCCATGTTGTTTATGAGTCTAGATCAAAGATGACAAAAGCTTAGAACAGCAATCATGCTGTTAGAGTATTCAGTGAGAGCCCTGTGATTACCCTTTAGCTCCAAGCCAATAACAACAAGAACCTTATTCTCACACTTACAAATTGATACCATCCTCAAATAATTTATTACTACATTATAGTGATAACTAAGTTGAACTTCCTCTCTCAAACAAAAACAAACCAAAAAGAAGAAAAAGAATTCTAATGTGGGAATATATGGTTAATAGCAACTACCAAGGATACTCCTTTTCCGCCAGGTACAAGACAATGACCTTAATAATTGTGTAAAGATAGTAAAGTACCACTTACAATTCCTAAAGAAGAAGATCAAAGAGAAGTGACAATAGTCAGAGCAAAACTTACCAAACTTCACCAGCATGGCCATGCTCACGAAAATTTGCCAATTCATCTGCAAAAGTGGCATCCCAATAACTTTGGAAACCCAACATGGATGTAACTGTTTCAACATCAGGCTCCTCTTTATCAGAACTGTTCATAAAAGCAAATTAAAACTCAAAAAGGCTATATTCAAATTATAATAATAGACCTCTTTTCCCAACTTTAGTATTATTAAACAAATCTCCTATTCTCTCCACTCAAAAAAACAGTACAAACCCAGGCTCAGAGTTGGTTAGCAGCAATAATAGTCATACACAATCTACATCTGATCTCTTCCTATTACCATAAAGTTCCATAATAGCGTTCACATTTGCCCAACACCTATTTAGCACAGTAAAATCTCATATATTTTAAAACTTTTTTTCGAAGTCCAGAGAAATTTAGCTGAACCCACTAACTCAAGTGGGTTGTATAATTCAATACAAACTTGAAAACATTGTGGAACTAAGGTGTGTACATTTGTGTGTATATATATTTATGTATATATGTAAAGCTCTATAGAGGAATGGTGCAGTAAGTTTTGGTCTACAAATTTGGATTTATATCTTGTGGAACCAACCAAGTTTTGATATACATATAGATTTACAGCACCATTCCTCAACACACACATACACACACACACACACATATACTATTGTACACATTTTTCACATAGTTGAAACAATTATACATAAACATACAAATAGAATCATACTGATGAGGGTTTGTGATGAGGGATATCAATTAGATAGCAATTAAAAACAACTAAAGTGATTGAAAGAAAAATGATGAGCAGATCACAATATGTAGATAAGCAAAACGAGACATAAAGATCGAAGAAGCAGATCATATAGAAATTCATCACAAGCACACATACACCTTATGCTATATGTAGGAATATATACATATATATATATATATATGAATTTTTTTTTAAATTGGGGCACTCAAACCTGGTATCATCATCTCTAGATTTTAAGAAATACAAAGAGGGAGATCTGACCTAGGGCTTTGACAGCAAAGTATGTGATCTGTCTCATTTTAATATCAAAATTACACATATAGACCAAATTGAAACTCTTTTTATGTATTCGGGACTAAATTGACAGAGTTTAAACAAAGGGGATCAAAATACACAAATCTCATATTTAGAGATTACAAATGTAATTAACCTTGTACATATATATTATATATACATCATGTATACAGACCAAACAGACAAGGAAACAAATCCAAAGAACAAAGCAGCAAACCCACTAAACAAATGTCATACAAGGCGAAGATCTGAGATGAGATCAAAATTCAATTTGATGGAGGAGGTTACACAAACCCAATCTTGGGGTAGAGCTAAATTATGTCCTATAAGAGTTCTCTATTCCTCCAGAAAATCTGATCTTCCTTAATTTTATTGCTCTGTTTGAATTTTTTGTTTTTTACATCCACATGTAAGCGTACTGATGGGCACAAAATAAAATTCAAACTCTGGCAATAATCAACGCATTCACATTTTAATATATGAAGTTAAAAGTTCCAACATAGAGAGAGAAAGAGAGAGGGAGATGAAAAAGAGAGTGACCAAGAAACTGAATATATATATATAGAGAGAGAGAGAGAGTGGAAGAGGGCTTACCATCATGTAATGGTGGTGGATATAGTGGTGGTGGTGGTGGTGGTGGTGGTTGGTGTAGCCCTGGATTTTCCTCTAGCCATCAATTTTCCTCTGGCATCACTCTCGAATCGACTACACCAACCTTCGGCAGGACCACCACACATTCTCAGTCGATCAAGGGTCCATCTCCTCCTCAACTTGGCTCGCACGAGAGAGACGCAATAGGGATGAGAGCAAAGAGAAATATTGATCGTTAGAAGGCGAGGTGAATAGAGAACAGAGGATATCAGTTCATAGTCGGATGTAGATTGTAAGAGAGAAAGAGAGACGCTGCTGAGAGAGAGAGAGAGATGAGCGACTGAGAGAGATGCTGCCGCTGCTGGACGCCGCTCCATGCCGCCGCCTCCCTTGCCCTACGCCGTTGAGCACGACTGAGAGACAGATGAGCGAGAGAGAGAGAGAGATGAGCGACTGAGAGAGATGCTGCCGCTGCTAGACGCCGCTACACGCCGCCGCCTCTCATGCCCTACGCCGTTGAGCACGACTGAGAGACAGATGAGCGACTGCGAGCAAGAGAAGGAAAAGAAAAAGGGCGGGGGGGAAATTTTGGGGGGAATTTTGGGAATAATTTGTTGGTTTTTTTTTTCATTAGACATGGCAAATGGGCACAGTTCGAACGAGTTAAAATAACTTTTGTATTAAAAAATTATTTCAATTTTTGAAAATTGTTTTTGAGTTTTTAATTAATATATTTTTTTATTATTTTTAGTGAAATTTTTCAATATTTTAATCAATTAAAAAAATGATTAAAATATTTAAAAAGTTTACTAAAAATTTTTAAAAATAAGGATTGAAACTTGAAAATTAGTTTTTGAAATTGAAACCAAACGAAATCGATTCAAACACATCTATTTAATAAAGGGATTTAAATGGTTTCGGTTGAGGTGGAGTGCTAGTGGTGGTAGTAGTGGAGCGGCGGCGGTGGAAGTGGAGTGGCAGCAACGGTAGTGGTAAAGTAAAGCAGTGGTGATGGAAGAAAAATGGTAGCGGCAGCGGTGGTAATGGTAGTTGTGTGGCAGTGATAGTGGTGGTGGTGGAAAGGTGATGGTGGTAGTGGTGGTGATGGGGCAGCAGTGATGAAGTAGTGGCAATAGTGGTAATGGTGGTGGTGAAGTAGTAGCGGTGGTGATGGTGGTGGTGGTAAAGTGGCGACGGTAGGAGTGGTGGTGGAAGAGAGTTAGTGGTAGCAGTGGTACAGTGGTGATGGCGGTAGTGGAAGACATGTGGTGGTAGTAGTGATAATAATGGTAGAGTCACAACGGTAGTGAAGTAATGGCGACATGAAAGTGGAAGAGAGGTGGTGGTGGAGTGGTGGTAGTAGTAGCGGCGGTGGTAATGGATCCATGGCGGCAGAAATGGTGGTGGTGTTGGAGTGGTGGCAATGGTGGTAGAAAAATCCATTTAAACAGGTATTCATGTCTAACCCAAAGAGGGCTTTGCAAAATAGGGACTGATTTGGGCAAACAAAGAGTGTTTCTCAATTATAGCATGAAATGAAGTTGTTTTGCATAATAAATTTATAGGAGACGAAATTATTTCCTCGCGGAAAAATTTGTACAATGGTGACGAAAATTTTTGTCTCTAAAATGGCGCCCAAATATTCTGCGAAATTTTTCAAGGGCGGGAATTTTTTTGTGACGAAAAATAAAATATAGAGATGAATAAAATTTTCGTCTCCTATTGTTTTACTGATTTTAAGCATTTGGTGACGAAATTTGGTTTTTCTCTCTAAAAATACTACAATTGGAGACGAAATCTTACTTTTATCTCTGAAACATATATATTTGGAGACGAAATTTTTTTTCGTCATGCTTTTTCGTCACCAAAGACCTTTTTTGTTGTAGTGTCCCTATGAGGCCATGCTTAGCCTCGTACAACAGCAATTGGGCGGTGGTCAGCCTCCCGGAACAGTCGCCGCCGCCGCTGATGAGGTTTTGGGTGTTTTGAAGAACAATAACCCCAACAAGAGGGAGGAGATTGAGAAATTGTTGAACCCTATTTCGATTCATGATTTCGATCAGATGGTTTGTATTGGGAACCTAATCACTAATTTCCAAGAAGAAGAAGACAATGTTATGATTGATGATAATGTGGGTTTTACTGTTGTGTTTGACGAGGAAGAAGAACAGAATGGTTTTGATGATGATGATCTTAAAGTTGAGACCAAGCTTTTGGGTCATCTCCAATTCGATAATTTCAGCCTTGTTAAGTGTTTGTTGTAGAACCGATTGAAGATTGTGTGGTGTACTCGTCTAGCCAGGGCCAAGGATCAGGAGACGAGAGAGAAGATTGAGGAAGAAATGCTGGATTCTGGACTGGGATTGGCTACAATTCTTGAGCAGTTGCAAGCCGATTGAGAGAGAGAACATAGTGAGAGGGAGAGTAGGAGACAGAGGAGATCAGGGCCTTCTTTTAAAATTTTTTTTTTTTTCCAGGTACAAAACGACGTCGTTTTTACTTTGGCGACCAAATTTTTTTTTTCGCCAAAAAATTTCATTTCCCCCCTCCCTGTTTGAAATTTCCCTCCCAAACACTTTTGGCGACCAAAACACCATATTAGTCGCAAAAAAGGTACCTTCGGCAACAAATTTTTTTAGTCGCTAAATCTCAATCAACGCCGACTAAAATATTAGTCGCTAAAAGTACAAATTTGGCGACTAAATTTTTTTGGTCGCCAAAATGTAACCTTTGGCGACCAAATTTGTAGTTGGTCGCGAAAAGCATACCAATTTCTGCGACTAACTCATTTTTGGTTGCCAAAATGTGACCTTCTACGACCAACTCATATTTGGTCGCCAAAAATATTGATCATTCGCGACTAATTAATATTTGGTCGCCAAAGGTCATTTTTTTGCGACCAAAATTTTTTTGGTCGGCAAAAGTGGTCGCCAAATGTGTAAATTCTTGTAGTGATATAGTGATTTTATAAGATTATTAATGTTGATTACCTCGATACAAACAGAGGTCAAACAAATTGAACTATGCCTATCTCGTGTGCTCATCAATAAAATTAAAAAAAATAAAAATTGCTGATAAAAAGAAAAATGAAGATCTCATGTGGTCAACGTATGAAATATATTGAGAAGTATTTGTATACATGGAGTTAGCCAAATGATAATTTTAGTCATGATAATCATCTTAAATTAGAAGTTTAAATTTCATGAAACGTTTCTACATAAAATATAAAAATATCATAAAAGTTTGATTTTTTAGAATCATTATGTCTAATACTTATTTGATATGTATGAAACGAAAGAAAGCCTACATCAAGAACTAGTGGGATATATATATATATATAATTGTCATCAATATTTCTACATATACATGCACATGTTGTTTATTTATATATATAGGGGGAGAGAGATATAAGTGATATTTTATTTGGTTAATTAACTTCTTGCAAGCAAACCCAATTTGTGCATCAACTCAGAGCATGTGAAGTGGATTGATAAATCACATGAGTTGTATTAATTTACAATAAATTTAGAAATACAAAAATCAAATACGGAATCAATCAAGAATATTTATGAATAAATATATGAGATTTTTGGAAAAATGATGGATGATTCCTACGAGAGAGTTCTGGGGAGCCAAACATGAAGCATCTTTTCGCATAGAAATGTGGGTATACAATTATATTATAAACTCAATCCTAGCCATAATAATCACAAAATGAATCTCCACTTCTCTGAGCATGTTTCAAACTTTCAATCTGTAAGGCTATTACAAAAATAGGAGATACTCCTAGTTTTCCACACACTGTTTACAAACATTAAACTATGGTCCAATGCCAAAAGAAACATGTATACCTGTGGAGACATATTTTTTGAATGATGACACGTGGCCGAGGTGTCACTGGAGTGCCAGCCGAGATTCCACGTGTCATGGTCATGATGCTGGGGTAATCTCGACTAGGTCGAGGTTATCTGCGAGAATGTCGGAATCCGAGATAAGTGGATAAGGGACAAGAGTCCTAGAATGGGAGAAGACTTCAGTTTGGGTAAAGATAAGACTATTAGAGAGTTTATCCTAATCCTACTGTGAGTCCAAGATTAGCAGTAATCCTAACGGAGTGCCAGCCGAGATTCCACGTGTCATGGTCATGATGCTGGGGTAATCTCGACTAGGTCGAGGTTATCTGCGAGAATGTCGGAATCCGAGATAAGCGGATAAGGGACAAGAGTCCTAGAATGGGAGAAGACTTCAGTTTGGGTAAAGATAAGACTTTATCCTAATCCTACTGGGAGTCCAAGATTAGCAGTAATCCTAAGTCCATTGGAGCTAGGCTTCTATTGGGACTAGGATTATGTTAACTATAAAAGAGAGGCACCTTCATGGGTCTAAGGTATGTCTTTTATACTTTTGATATTCTGTCTAGTGAGTTAAGCACTTTTGACTATCTTTGAGAGATATATGACTTGATCGTCGGAGTGCCTCCGGGTGGACGAACCACTGCCGAAATCTTTTCTTTCTGTTACAGGTTAGCCAGGTGTTATCTATTCTGCCAGTGTTCTCCAGCTGAATACTGAGTTGGGCAGTGTGATCGGAAAATCACTCACACAATTTGGCGCCGTCTGTGGGAAAGAAAGGAGAATAGATGGCCAACGACAGACAGAAAGAGAATGTTGGAAACGACACCCCTACTAAGAATGAGAAACATATTGACCTTGACGTCAAAGAAGACAACTGCAACGAAGAGACTCGTGATATGAATCACGGAGAAGAGGACATCGGCCAGGAGGGCGACGTGTCGAAGAAATTAGACCGAAGCAAGTATTATAACGAGGACGACCTCCAGCCACCGTTCCCGTCACAAGACACGCCGATTCCAGCAGCCAAGAAAGATGCCCAGGCAGGGGGGCAGAAGACAACTCCTACGCCTCCTCAGCACGATAGGACCAAGAAACATTCTCACCGGCCTTCAAGGGAGGTCGGACGAGGAGAATCAAGAAGGGGAGATTCATAGAGGACACGTCGCACAAAGGAAGCTGACTCTAATGAACATCGGCATGTTCAAGGGAAGGATCTCTGTTTCGACGCAACCAATGGAGGGAGGTCCAAAAGGACTCGCAATGACACAGGAAGTAGTGCACCAAAGAGGCTGAAATCCGGAGATAGTCGAGCTCTTGGACGAACCAAGGAGGATTTGAGGGATTACCTCCAGAGAAAGCGATAAGATGCCGAGGTGACCTCACTTGTCAAGCCGAGATAACACTGGATATGAGAAGACAAGAGCTCAGCCTAAGTAAGCCGATCCCGGATTCCAGATCTCGGATCCGAGATTCC